ACTAAGTTAGTTAAGGTTATTTCTCTTAAGTAACCAAGTTAAGTTACATGTTAGTAAATAAAAAAAAAGTAACCCATTAAATTACTGGTTACTCATCAAAAATGTACAAGTTACAAGTTACTTTTTCAATTTTTTAAATTGGCTTTTATTTTTAGTACCTTATTATTTTTTTAATAGATAACATAACCTTCAATAATTGATGCTAGAAACGAATTCTCGTTTAGTAACTGGACGTTATCAAAAAGTTTTCACATTGTATTTTTTTTTTTTTTTTTTGTTACAATAGTAAGTAGGTAAAAGTAACTCTTTTGTAACCTAGTAACTAGTTACTGTTCAGATTTGTTTTCAGCGCGATCTATCAATATTAGTTCGAATATATATTGTATAAGAGCAATACCCGAGTCTCCGCGCTCTTTTTTTATAATTAGAACGCGTATTATACACGCATAATAATAATGATTTTAATATCGTAATGATATTATATTTTACTTGTCGAGAATTCTCGCGCGCGGTTCTAATACCGACCCGTATTATTCATTTAATGATACCCAGCGCGCACGGTGTTGGCAAAAAGTGATTTACTGAACATTACGCTATATTATCGCATTACAATAATATTATACCTATATAACAGGGCATTGCGGTTAACGTGTCTGGCCTCCGGCGGACCGAAGATTACGTTAATACTATTATATATACCGTGTTGCAGTGGCGATTGGGTCTACGGAAGGATCAGGGTCGAAACGGGGTACCTGTGCGTGACGATAATGTATTACGCGACCACGGTGATATGTTGTATCCAGGGGCGTCATTTCAGTTTTTCAATGGGGATGCAGACATTCAAATCGGGCCGATTTTTCTGAAAATTGTCCGTTCGTTTCGTTCGCGTCTCACGTTGGGACCAGCACAAAATAAATCTTATTTATGAAACTTATGAATGAACCTTATAAGAGAAATAGAGAAAGGATAGAATGTATTTGAATTTGACTGACCGTTCCAAGTTATTTTAAATTTAAGCGACTGTATCTTATATCCGTAAGTCTTATAAGCGACGCACATTGCATTAGATTTGTTTATATTACAGTTAACATTACTAAACTATGGTCATAGTTTATTTTTTTATGAAAATCTTAACTCGTTATACCAAGATTCTACGTGACGTCAGTTTCGATGCGCACAATTATGTTGCTAACACGCAAGTTTAATTAACTATGATAACAATTAACAGTTGACAATTAACCGTGGTAAAAAACCCCCATGTCTCACTCTCGCATCTCAGACGGTCAGACCCCTGTAGTAGATGTGGCTATTAGATGTTGCAGCGATTACTTTTTTATTTTACATTTTTATTAACATCAGTTTTTAACAGAATTATAACATTTTACGCGAGCCAACATTTTTTATTGACATAGGTTACATATCAATCAGTATATTTAAAAAATCAATGTAAAGTAATATAACAAAATATAAATAACAAGTATAAAAAAACGATTTGACAAATTTTATGAGATAAAAAACAATAATTAAATAAACAGCCACACAGCAAAAATTCAAAATGACAATATTGCCGATCACGTGTAATCTTATCAGACTATCTTATCGGAAAATCGTATTAGTTAATTTTCATAAAATAAAATAATCAGCTGTATTGATTTCACAAATGTTCAATGGCCTCCCTGAACACCATAATATAATCATGTTTTGTGAAAAACTTGTAGTTTAAATTAAGAAAACGACTGTTCGACATAACATATTAAGAAATTTTCATGGAAGAAATAAAAATTTGAATTTCAATATCACAACCATAGACCTAATAACTATGGGCCGCGCATAGAGAGAGAAAACGTAGGTTGACATCAAACAAAAGAGATAGAACTAAAGGAGAACAATCATGGCAAAAATAATAAAGACTTTTTTTTTTTTATTCCACGATGTATACTATTATTATTTATTATAGAATATAGTCTATAGTTTTTCAATGCTATTATCATTTAAAAATTTTGATTTATATTATTTGTAATAAATTGTAGTTGATTTGTAATTTATAATTTATAATTTATAAATGCATATACCTAGTTTTTTTTAAAAAATTTACCTTATTTAACATTTTATTAGTAAATACATTTTTAAATTTATATTTATAATTAATTTTAATAAAATACATTTTTCCACACCTATGGAATAAAAAAATTACTTATATATATTCTATTCCATGATATGGTTCTCTAATATATCCATCTCCCTTACTCAATGCCTACTTATCATGCGATAGGCAAGGGGATTTAATGAGTGGTATATAGTTATTAGGTTTATGATCAAAACTAATCATGTTATCAAAAATATTTTAACTGATAAATCTATTTTCAAAATTTTTATATTTATTTTTATTTTTTAATCAAAAACCAAAGTCAAATAAATCCTAAAGTATTTATTTGATATGATTGGCTATATTTTTAATCGAATCTATATTGTAATTTATTACATTTGTGGATAGATATCGTGATTATATGTCTTGATGATAACGATACAAGAAATGTTAAAATTCATGACCTCGTACGACTTATCCCAAGAATATAATTGTTCCTTACGGAAATAGAATGTATTTAAATATTCGTCAATTTTTCAATCTTTTTTTCGTAACTTTGACCGCCTTGTTCTCAATGTTTTATTTTGCATTTGCAACAAATCTACATTAACGTTAAACTTTTAAATATAGCATTTTTCGACCGTTTAAAAGCACTTTTTTTACGCAATTTGTATTTTCTTTTCGGAAGAAATAATATTCTTTATTCATTGATGGGACAGAAAAATAATCAATTTCAGATTAACATTTGATAAATCTGTATACACTAATTACGGAACATAAATATTATTTTTTATTTCTATATCAGCATACAAAAACAATTTATCCGTCATCAAGTCCGTAATAATTAAGTGTAGGTAATGCACTAACTTAAGGGTATTATTAAGTATTTGTTTTCTCTTTCTCTTTTGATCCGTATAATATTGTTATTTATTATTCACACTGCACTATTATTATTACATTACTTATGTAATTTATATGTTGGTAGGTGCCTATCGATCAAATTATACTTCATATTTTATACATATTATTATATAACTTAGTTTCGCCCTAATAATAATACTTTAAGTTCTATTTTATACGCGTGATAAACTTCGAGGTCATGACGTATCGTTTAAGATGAAAATAATTTAATGTTCGGAGGCACTAAAATCGGATGAGACTTGTTCGTTTATGACTCTCGTTCAAAAAACCTAAATTACCCTTTAAAACCTTGTTTGATATTATAAAGATAATGGTTTAATTCGGATATGTAAATCGTTTCCAATTACCGAAGAAAGATAATGCGACGGTTCTCGTGACTGATCGTTAAGAGATTGCAGACGATTTCCTCAGCAGAAATGGAACATTGAAAAGTCAAGAAAAACATATAACTACTGAATTACATTACGAACGGTAATATTCGGTAATAAAATTACTATAGGTCTGTCAATCGGTTTTTTATGTATAATTAAGGTACCCAAATTTAAAATAAACTGTTATCACTTCAATTAACCTATAAAAAAATTCTTACATCCGAATTTGACATTTTTTGGTTCAGAGAGAGCTGCTAAAAGTATCCAAATGTACCGGGAAAAATATATTGATATATTAAAGACACAATTTGCCATTGCATTGCAATGGTCTCTATTTTTATTGGTCCCTAAATTTTACCGATTTAAGATTTAGTAATTCTAAATATGCCACGTTAGTTTTATCGTAGACACTGCCACTCATTATCTATGTTTTGACATTGCAACTACTGTCCGCCGATAATATTATTGGAATTACGAGTATCAACTTTATAATTTGTTAAATTTATATAAAAATACTTGTTTACGTGTAAAATAAAATTTCAAATTCATATTTTGTATTCAAAGAACTCCAAAAATGCCCCAAAAAATCAAGAAAATAACATAAAAACTAAAAATTGTTAAAAACGCAAAATAAACTTTTTTATTCTCATTAAAAAGCACATGATATAGATTTGTGACTAGACGAACATTGTACAGCAAACTTTGGAAAAAAATGCAAAGTGCATCGAAATCCCGGCCCTAAATATAAAAAATATGTATTTGATTCACCAAATAATTAGTGGTAAACATCGAAATATCAGACGGGTAGTACCCATAATGCAGTAGATGTTGTCTCGCATTGATTGAAATATCAATCACTATTCGTTCGTTCATTCGATCGACATTTTTAAATTCGGTGCTTTTTTTTATTTTTATTTTTGTAAAATCAAATTATTCGCGGTTAACACGTTTCCACATGATCAGCGAAAAGAAAAACGATTCGCCCCGTTAAGTCCTAAATCTAAAGTGTCGGGCGCGCCGAAACCCGTGTCTACGTCATAACAATATTATTATGATCTCCGATCGTCTGCACGCGAGAATAATGTTGGTTACGGGGTTTCCCAACACGGGCGCGGTGCAAACATTACGATAATAATGATAATATTACCGCCGTGTTGTTTTGGACCGTCCGGCGGCCGGCCCGCCGTCGTCGTGGCGCCACCTGTTGTCCGGCCGCGGCGGCCGCGTCCCCGACCTTTCCCGGCGTCGTCGTCGGTGTCGTCGGCGTCTTCTTCTCCGCCGTCGCCGCGGTGGGCGCGTGCGTAGAGATGGCGATAGACGATAACGATAATAACGCGTCGTCGCCCGACGAAATGAATCACCGCGAGCCCGCGAGTGGTCGCCGCCGTTGTTATACACCGCATACCTATAATAACCCATAACTCGACCAAGGCCGACGGTTTTCAGGTGGAAAAAAAAAACGGAATAATAAAAACTATTAGTGGCAAATAAAAAAAACCGCCCAGGAATTTATATAATTATTTATTATCGCCCGCGCCGCGCGCGCGCGCCGAGTTTTATCCGGTCTTGTTGTGCCTTATGCGCGTATAATAATAATAATAATAATAATAATTATTATTATTATGTATTATGGAGGAAATTTATGGCCCGATCGCCGCCGCGGCTCCCTCCACTGCGGCGGCGGCGGCGGCGGGGACCCGGCCGTGCTATTGACCACTTTTACACCTACGTGGTACCGGCCGCCCGTCTACTCCCGCGTATATAAATACCCGGGTGCGCGCAGACACCGACCGAATCACCGGACACACGCGGATTTTTCGCCATCCCGACGAGACGACACCCGGAGTGCATACCTAACAATAATTCTAAATAGAAAAAAAAAAATAAACGATCGACGACGAACCACCTCGCGACATCATCACAGACACGTCTGCGAAAATACGACGCGTCGTTACCGAACACACACACACACACACACCTACGGAACCGTGGACGTTTTCCTGCACACCGCACCGGGAAAGCCGTTGTTCTTCGACCGACCGTCGCCCTAACAGCAACCCCCCACCGAAGTTTCCGACCAAGACCCGAACCAACTCGAGTAAGTACACTTTACGCCTATATTACGATAATAATTTGCACAGTTTATAACCCGCCCCGCACGAGGATTTACCCTAATGGTTTCAATCGTAAACAAACGGGCACGTTTAAATTGGTTTTTTTTTTCTGTTTCAAACGTTATTTTTTCGTTTTTTTTTTATGCCGATAGTTATAAAAAGAATATTTTATCGTGATTAAAACTAAATAAAAATTGAATAATAATAAAAAAAAAAAAAAATGTTCCTTCTTTATCCAAAAGTAATAGGAACTGTTTAATTTTCGTTTTATATTTTAAGAACGAATAGAGGAACTGTTTCTTCACATTTCAGAATATTTCGGTTATTTTAATTACATTTTCGAACACTTTGCAACCATATATGTCATCACTGAAAAAAATAGTGATCAAATTGAAGAAAATATTACGCTCAAATGAAGTAAAACATACAGTTTCGGCGTGAATGTTTTGACACGACGTGATTTGTACGATGGGTTTTTAGCCAAAATAAATTCGTGTTATGTCAAAAGTTACGGTCTCACGCGGGAAAACTTATAGAACATTATATGATTAATATAAATTCCTTTTCCCGCCATTCTATATTTTGATACGTGTGGCTATTTTTTCGGGGGGCGCGAGATTTTCAACAACAATCATAATAGTTCGTAATTATTGGAATAATTTGTAGAAAAAAAAAAAAAAAAAAAAAAAAAAAAAACAAAACAAAACAAAGTAGTCCGTGACTTCACGTTATTATTATATTTCAATCGTCGTCTTTGATTTTCGAAATATCTTGCAAAAATATTGAATAGATCGGTGCGGCGGCAGCGTCCGAGCTGTTCGACAATCGTCTACGAGTGATGCTGTCACCGCCAGAATTTGTGTGTACATACTTACCTACACGAAATATAGTTGCGGAATTAATCTGATAGGTTAAGAGGGCAGGACTCGACGCAAGCCCGAAGCCGATTAAAAAACCGTTTGTATATCAAACCGCCGTAGCGGAAAAAACCGTTTATTAAACGTGTATACAATAAAAATTGAAATTTTTGAAAAACGCAACATACGTATAGTGTTGATATCGTTTTGCACGTACCTATAGTAGTTATTATAATAAATAGGTATAGTAATAATACAAAATTTTAATCTTTTTTTTTTTATAAAGAAAAATTTGGTATATTTCACAGCGGTTGGTGGTCAAATTTCACCTGGAAGTTTAGTGTTTACGGTAAAACATTGTAACGATATTGGTCGTGAGCAAATTGAATTAAAAATCGCCCGAATCCCGCGGGAAACCGGCAATAACGAGACGCGTGCGACGATTCCCGACGAGATTTCGTTCGAAAACCAATATAAAATATCGGATTTATCGTTTATTTTACACTTCATCAAACCGGTACAAAAATATATAGAGACCGCCGTCTTCGCCACGCGGTTAGGTTGTATTAGGTTTTATAGGTTTCGTTAGTCTATATACAGTTTCACGATATTCCGAGAGGATTTCGATCGATTTTTATATCGTGTAATTATTATTATTATTATTATCATATTACAACACGTAAAAGATACATTTTGAAATGTATTCCGAATAGAAATACAGATATTATTTGTCAAAGTATTTACCAGAATACGTATTTGAGTGTATACTTTGTTAAAAATATAAATTACAATAAAATATTTGCCAACGAATATACATTATGTACGTAATTTTGAATAAAATATTTTTACATATTTTCAAATGCTTACGTTATTGTTTGCATAATTTTGTTCCGAAGGATCGTCGATATTCGATGTTTTAATTATTTTTTTTTACATTTCGTACAATTATCCATGCGCCGTAATTCGATTTCAAATACAATTATTTTTGATAAATATTAAAAACACAAAACACTATACGCCGAGCTCAATAATTTCGGTTCAAGTGTTTTTTTAATAATTTATTCGAAAATGTACTAAACAAGACGTGTTCGATTACGTTTATTTAAATACTTTTACTCGGACACTGTAGACGAGTCTGGTTGTATATTTTACCGTTGTATAGCACGTCGGCGAAAACACGTAACTTTCGATAAAGAATTATTACTTTTTTTTTTTTTTTTCAAGACCCTGCCGAATTCGTCAATAATAAATAATCGCATTCATGCTTTTGACGCCTAACGATCGTATACATACTATTATACTTCAACACAATATCAACAGAATAGTGTTGTGCGCGGCACTTGACAATACTGCACGAGTATCACAATAAATTATAATGGCCAACAAAGGTTTATAAAAAGCGAGTACTTTAATGATTGAGGTTTACAGAAAAAAAAAATTCCGGAACGCCCGCGGCCATTTCAAATCGCGTTAATAGGTTGACCGGCGCGTTGTTTGGAAAACACGATATTTCGATAAATATCGTTTTCGAGATTATTATTTAATCGGATGGAAAAAAAAAAAGAAAGAAACATTAACAATTCGAAAACCGAACGAAATTCGCGAACAGCTTTCGATCGGGCGGCGTCGCCATTATCAACAGATCAATAATTTAACATTACGTAACTAAAAAAAAAAAAAAAAAATTAAATAATAATAATTTGATTAATTAAAAATATTTTTTTCCCGCACGAGCCGAGGGCCGGGCTCGAGGCGTACACCCGAACAATTTAAATTTAATGGCGCGGTTTTATTATGCGAATCGCATTATTGCAGTCGTTGCGCGCGGTTTCCTAACGCCGTTCGCGATATTCGAACGACAATAATAGTAATATTATAATCTCGTCTCGATACACAATATTATTATCATTATCATTTTATTCGCGGTGTATAGTCGGGTCGATCGGTCGGTTGTCAATCGTCCGATTTCCGAACGGGTCGTACATACGCACGTCAATAAGTCATTCTCGCGCGTTCTGTTCGCTACATAATATTATGTAAAAAAAAAAAAAAAAAATACGCGTTTCGCCATCGTCTTTATACCATAATAATATAGTGACGACTTAATTTCGCGAGTCAACAACAATCGTGAATATTATCACCTACCGTCGGCCAATAGATAAAACACAACGTTCTCCGACGAGTCGAACCCCCCCTCCTCCTCAACCCCCGACCGGTTAAGCATGTAGCGTACTGTTATAGGTCAAGACGAATATACTCCCGTTTCCGTTTTTCAATAAATTCGATATTATCTATTTAAATTTAATATTATCGCGAGACTCGGGGACGGCGAAAAGGTACAGTCCAGACTGAACAATTGTCCGGGGCGCCACGTCAATGTAAAGCCTATTTTTCTATGAAATTCGGTAAACTCATCGCCTAGACAGAATTTTTCAGCCTTGGCCTCACAGAAATCCCTTCACTATGCCACTGCACCGCGAGGCGACAGGCCCCGATTGAATATCGGTTTCGGTTTTGGCCGCAATTTTAGTCGCATCATTAGTTTTAGTTGGCGAAAATCGTATTTATAAATTTCAATTTACACAATCGCCAACGCTTCATCTCAAATTGTATACACCTGCAGCAATTATTTCTTCGCCATTCGTCTGAAAAAGGCGGAAAACTCGTTTGTCATCATTAAGGAAGAACCTTATTTTGAAGGCCATCGAACGCTGTGATTTAATCAGTAATTTTATACACAAACGCGCATCGCAAAGATCTTTAGACGTGTTTTATTTTCGACCTACCGATTTGTCTGGTAAAGCGACATGTATTATGAACTCATTCTGGCCCACTGCATTAGATTGGTTCATTTTAGAACACGCCATAAATGCGTGCCTTTAACGAATTTTCAAAATCGCGCCCCTCACCCCCGGTCGTCTTATCTTGGATACGCCGCTTCGACAGAGACGATCTTTGCACTTTTTTTTTCCGTCGAATAATTTAAAAATATTTCGCGCAATATATCAACGAAAATCGATTCCGGTTCAAATTTAAGAACCTTCGAATTTGTATGAATCCCTTACGTTTACGACCGTCACATTGTCGACGACGACACGTCCGTCGGAAAACATTTTTCACACTCGAAGTCTTTATATTATCGTCATCTAAGCGGGTACGTCGCTGTACAGAAAAAAAAAATATATATTACTATTGCTTATGCTAATATACGAATACAATCTCATATTATCATAATATCGTTCACTCGTTTTTATCACATCGTTTCGTTTTATTCTCGAACCCTCCGACTCCCCCCAAAAATATAATATATTATAGGCACCTATACCTACCGATAATATTTATTTATTTACATATTCCGGTATACCGGCGACAAAGATTACCATAATATTATGATGATTATTATTATTATTATTATTATTATTATTATTATCATCACCGCGGTTATTGATAACCCGAAATAAATATAATAGATTTATGTAAAACAGCTGATACAGACAGACAGGTATACATTGCGCCTGCCGGAGAATGTTCGAAACTATCGATTTAATCTAATCGATTACCGGAATTATATTTCTGGTCATATATTACAGTGTTATAATAGAATAGGCTCGGGATGATACGTAATAATATAATATTTATTAATATTTTAACGCATAATAACCGAGAGAATTATCATTATTATCGACGAGCATGTGTGTATATAGATAGCCGAATCGGACGATAAATCAGCGCTGTAAAAAAAAATGTCCCACACGTGCGGATATATCCGATATAACGGTTTTTTTAAATGCACATTTTACGCGACTGTAAACACGCAATAATGCGAATTCGACGTACGTACCAGTCGAACAATTGTTATTGAATTTACGGGGCGGGGGAAGGGGGGAATCGTATATTTGCCCGTTTCCCGTATCGCGTATTATTGTTATCGACGTCTATCGGCCGACAGATATTATTTTACGCGAATAAACAATAATCGTTCACGAACGCATTGCCCGCCGTGTAAAATTCAAATACGAACCGACGGGGGCTCTAGCGAGACAACTCCGTTTTTCGAAATCTTTCGGGAGAACAATAGTGACGCGGCTGTCAAATCATAAAACACCGGTGCTTAAGTGACAATACACAAATTTTACAGTAGAGCCGTTTTAGTGTTTTGTCTACTACGCGCAGGTCGCTGATGGTTTATTGAAATTACAACGATTAATGCCAGAAAGAATTTAAATATTTCGACCAAAAGTGTGATATCGAAAAATCTGCGCAAATCAATTTCGGTCAGAAAAATAATGTCGAAACATGAAAATTGATGGGGGTGCACTCTAAATTTTCGTATACTATATAGTAGCCGACTATTGAAGCTATAACAGTAATATCGTTATTCCGAAACGCATTTCGGTAAAATCAATTCTACATTAAGCGAAATTAGCAAAAAATAAAAAAAAACAGCCCATTCAACATTTCACAGCTCTGATAATTACTTAAAGGATATATAATATATAAATACAATTTTTTTTTTTTTTTTAAGTAACCCATTTTGATATATTATTATTACGCGTAGGTTGGTTTATAGGTGTATTAATCCCTCGAATTTTTCACGATAATTAATTTGCCAGCGTTTTTTATTTTTTTTTTTTTACTATCATTTCTTCATTTGCCGGAGAGTGCATTATATATAGGTACACTCATCCGTCCAAAATGTTTAAGTATATTAAAAAAAAAAAACTCATTAAATACGTTTCTTCGCGTCACCGTGGCCACTATATTATCTTTTGATCAACCATCATTGCGTTTTTGATTGATTACACCGGTAATGGTTATTTTTATACATCGTTATTTTTTTCAAATTAAGATTTCTCTCGCTAGAAACTTTAAATATACTCGAACGATTATTATTTTATTTTATTCTTTGTTGATTTTCTGTCCCGCTTCGTTGTTTCGCGAATATTTTCCAATATATAATTGTAATACATAATAATAATAGCTTTATTGTCCATGGCAACCAAATTGTCATCCATGTGTCCAAGGTAACCCATGAATAAACCCATGAAATATTTCCATTACCGATAAACCGGTATCTTATAGGCTGTATGATAGCGATATGCTGTTATTATCAATATTGTTAACAATTTCTAAAAAAACTACGAAAACCATAATTCAAAATCTTTAATTATATGTACATGAAAGAAAAAATAAAAAAAGAAACAATTTAACAAACGAATCAACAATTAATTTTGTTGCCAGTTCTAAGACTGTGTAAAATTAAGAAGGGAAATTTTGACTATTACACTATATAGGTACACTATTTAAACAAACCTTCAAAACATATTTAATAAATGCAATACAGTTTAAGTTTGAGGCGTAATCACGTTGCGTTTTTTTGCAGATAAAGAGCTAAAACGGGCACAATTGTATTACACACAAGGAGGGGTTGGAACATCAGTTGTTTCACCATTTTTCTTGATTCTTGATTTTTTTTCAGAATATGGTCATACTAAATATACCTTGGTATTATAATACTATATGAACTAGGTATATTGAATTAAGGCGATTAATGTCTACGTCATGTTTTTCTTATCAGCCTGTTATCAGGATTTTTAATATATACGATATTTTACTATATACGATAATATTATTATCGTATATAGTTGACGTGAGTATATATCGGTAAATCGCGTCGTTTGCACGCAACGAGCACGATTTTCAATAAAATGCTGCAAAAAAACAGCGAATTACCGCAGTAGTGATATAATAATTATTATTTTCGTTATACTAAAAAAAGGCGACGATTTTTTTTCTCCCGCGGTCTTACCGCGGATAATAATCAAAGAAGTGAATAAATTCGGTGGATAGCGTAATTTTGAAATTTAGGCCCGGGAGCGAAATCTTACATATCTTATCATTAATGCATATATGCAAGGAATAAAAATTCATAACAGAAAAAGTATCGAAAACCAACATAATTCATTAAGGGTCGAGGGCTGCAGATTTATTTTTCTTTGCACAAATGGCACGCGCGTATATCGCGCGAAAAATGTTTCGGACCTTTCGATTCATGAGAGGGGGGAGCTGTTGATTTATACACGAGATACGATTGCCGAAAAATGGAAAAAGTTTTACGAGAAAATATACTCTCAAACCCTGGCAATAAATCGTAAATAAATACATAAATCGTATGTATAGCCGCACAGCGGTATATACTTACGAACAAGTTTTACGACTTAAAAATGTATATTATTATTCAAACAGGAGAATATGATATTTTTAACAACATTGTGTTTTTTTCTGGGGGGGGGTTATCGTGCTTTTGAGAATTTCCAAGGAAAATAGGGTCTCGACCGGTGTTGAGGGATTATATTTCGATAACATTGTCCAAGAGATAATCTATAATTTAGATAACGGGCATACACATATGTTTTCATATTAAAAAAAAATAGTATCAGATTCACACCGGTATGTTGGGTATTGTTAAATAGTAAAAAAGTACTGGATTACTAATTAAGTTGGTCGGAGCGCGTCAATTTTTCATACATTTTAGGCCGATAAGTGGTGGGACATATTTCCCTATATCCAATTCACATTTTTAAATGTATTTATGAATTCGTTGAAAAATTGTCTAGGTTATTTATTTGGTAAGTAAACATTCGTTTTTCAGTTTTGAAGACCACCAATTTTATTTTAAAAAATTTTATTTTGTTTTTGTTTAAATTTGTATTTATTTTGGATTCACACAAATTTTAAATACAACATTGACTTCTTAAAAAACCTAAACAAATATTTGTCAACAAATCCATACGTATTTTAAACATTTAAATCGTAGAACATTGTCAAATTTCCACTGTTTTTTGGTCTATTACATTTTAAATTTAAATGAGCCACTTGTACACACTCAAGTATTATTTTTTAAGAATTATCAGACTATACCATCTTTATTATAATTTTATGTTATCTAGATAACATAAAAATACTACCTATAGATAACTGGATATTGTATATAATGTGTATATTTGTTTGGGCCTATCTACATTATATAGGAGTCTTTTTCCAATTATTAACGAATTCTCATCTATTGGATGGGCATTTTTCTAATTAAGCCCTCGACGTATAAATGGGTGTGTTCGTTCGACTGTAAAAAATGCAATAGTCGAAACCGTTTTATATCGAACGGTATAGCGAAAACGGGTAAAAGTACTTTTAGATTATCCCGCGGAAGAAATCGCGTGCTTATGACGCGAAATGTATCCCCGGGGTACGGTACCGTAATAATATCGTCGGACGTTATCATTATTGCCGTTGTTATTTAAAAACAACGCGGCGCTTATATCTGCGCCGTCATCGTTATCATAATAATAATTATCGCGATTGCGAGATGGCCGTAACATTATAGCGCGACAGTGTTGCTATAGAATCCGACGGCGTTTAGGGCCGCGAACGGAAAAAAATATAACCCGAGATTACGTCACGGGAGCGTACGTACGGGTCGTAAGGTGATGGAAAAAAAAAAAAAAAAGTCGCGCGGGCGATTAATCGACTTGACGACTTCCGCGTGCCTCGTACATTACGTTTTATGTCTGTACGACGCCGACACGGACCGGACTCTCATCTCATCTCATCTCGACGACGACGACGACGACGACGACGACGACGATAATGATCGATCGCCTCGGGCCTGTTTCGGGTTTCTACAATATTATCCAAACGGGATTCTCGTTATAACGTATACGACGACGTCCGTCTTGTTTGTCCGTCTCCGACTCGAGCAGCGTTGTTATGCCGACGAGAGTACGGGCACGCACGGCGATCGCACCGTGATGATTGTTATTACGTCGAATGACAACTCGAACCGCGTACCGATGCAGCAACCCGGAAATCATCGTCGCACGTACCGGGGTCCGAAGCCAGCAGGTAGCTTCGGACACTGTCGATACGTTTGACGATTGACGACGGATGATTTATTGCAATCACTGCACGCTGTTACGTTTTTTTTTTACGGTCGTCCGGAGAAACCGATAAGGGACCGGGCACAGCGTGTTTCACTGCGGTCAACCGTTGCCTATTATATCGAAGTAATATCACGGTACCCATACCTACCGTATCGGGGCTGGCGAAAACTAAACCAACACCAACAATAAATGTCCCGCTAGTGATGGCTCGACAAAGTGAACAAAGATTTGAAAAGTCTGCAGGCGAGGACGGGAATCGAAGATGATCATCGAAAACAACGACGGAGAGATTCGGTGAAATAGGCCAAACGCCCTCAAGGCTTGCAATCGTAAACATAAATACCTATACCTGCCATAATTGCGTATTATGATCGTTGTGAACTATTACTCGGATTATGATTTTCTAATACGACAAATGCGACCTTTATAATCCGACGACGCGCGACGTGGCGTTTTATTTACAATTCCCATTCTCGTGTATTTCTACCCGGTGTGATTTTTCAACGTTCTAAGGTTTTCAGTTTTGCAATTTTCACCCAGGACACCAACCTTATTGAAGCGACGTGTGAACTGGTCTCGACGTGGTGAATATTTTTCTTTCGACGTTTGTGTTGCTGTAGGTTATCTGTGGCTCCGATTTTCGTTTTACTTGTATATAGGTTAGGTTATGGTGACGAACGTCTGTGTAGTACTAGGTAGTTTTTAAAGAAAAAAAGAAGCGTTTGTTTTACCTAAACGTCAGCCCGTGAGATATGCGTTTTACTCTAACCGTTTTTCGAGGGAAAAGTTTAATAATAAATGTATATCTAATTTGTGTTAAAAAGTTTGAACTTTACATATATAGGTACTTTTTTTTTTTTTTTTTGGATTTCGCGGAGCACGAAGTTTATCTCGAAATTCGTCTTCGAACTAACCGGACGTAAACGATTTAACGTAATATTATGCAAACATTTCACGACCGCGATCGGTCCGGCAACATTCCTATGTTTCATATTCGACGCGTATCTCGGCGATCTAAGTGGGTGATTTATTCCGAACGACGATCGACAATTGATAGCACACACGCGATCAATTCACTTCCAAACGAATGTAACACTCGTTGAAAATCCGGTAGACAACCGTATACGATTATGGTGTTTTGGACCGTTTACGACATTTAAATATTTTCTGTCTAACAGGTCTACGCGCATCCGATTAGTTACACCGTCCACGGGGTATAATTGAAATTTGTTTTGAGACGATTCTATACGGTTACACGGTTATCCACGTACGTCTTGCCGTTTAAAATATTGTTATTATTACTTCTGTTCAGCGGCGGCTATCCTCGCGAAAATACGCGCCGATGACGATATTTCTAAGGACACACCCGAACCACCTTCGCATAATATATAATACTAGAAGTGATATTTAGCGGAAAACCAGAAAACACGAAAACTGCAGAAAAACCAACTCTGTTACATGTTCTACACTCAATAAAGTACCATCGAATCGTGTTGCCGGCCAACTCACCTACCAAACGTCGTACGCGTTGTATTGTGCCGAAGCAACACACTGACGGTCTCCATCGGATAGCCGCAGTAGCGGTGGCCTCTGTTCGGCTACGTGCCGGTCTGACGGGCTTTATTTTATCCACCGGAATTGTATGGGAACGACCGTGTAACTGTCACAGCGAAAACCTCAAAAGGCAATCGGATAAATACCCGTTTACGCGATCGTTCGGAAATGGTTGGGGTACCGCGTCTGGAAGAGCAGCAAACAATGAATTCGCATTCGAAAGTTACGATTTCCGGACGCCCGCGCACGGCGGCCGGGCTCCGTGCTTTCGTTTTGTCCGAAAATATCGACCGACATCGAAGCTGTCAACACGGTGCTCTTCCGTCGCGGAAACTCGCCGAGAACTTTGCGAACAACGCGCGCGTGATTCGCTTAGGAACCGCGTTTCGCCGTCGACGCGGCCGCTGTTCGGGGAACAATAATACGTTATAAATGTACGTTCGAGTCGTTGTCGTTCGAGAGACGAACGCGCGCGGATACGGAACGCGGACTCAGATTCAACACGCCGGCGGAACATTCGTTTTGTCGACTTGTTTTGTTGCCGCCGGCCGAACGGATCGACACGCGCGCGTTACGATAACGCCGGGTCGCACGGACCGTTCGAACATTCGCACGCGGCGTCGTCCCCAAAGCGCGTACGGTTTTATCGAACACCGCGGCACATTGCGAACACGGCCGCACGCGTTCCGTTTATCATACGGTCGCGATTTTTTCGCCGAACGACGCGGCGGGCTGAATCTGAAGTCCGAGTTCATATATGCGATCGGCGAAGACGCGTTTTCGTCCGCACTCCGGGGTACACCGGTCCGTGTCGGTTCGTATGGTCGTCGTCTGCGGCGGCGGCGGCGGCGGCTGTAATCGTCTTGGAAAATACAACGGAGATTCACATAACAATACTGTTGACACTGCGGTGCAATGATTAATACGCGTCGCGTTGTGCGTACCGCGTGTATAATAACAATAATAATAATCGACGAAATTCGCGACCGCTAGTTTAAACACCGAAAACCATAAACATTATGTAAAATCGCGGAGACGAGAACGGAATTCACCCGGCCAAGGTCCGGCGAAACCAACACTTCTGGTCGGCGGGTGCCGGCCCGCCCGCGCATCACAGCGATATTGTTACGGGGCGCAACCGAGTCCCGGTTCTCGAATAATTGCACACCGCGGACAAATGTTGACCTTTCGGAGGACGACATCGGACGCGACAAATTCCGCTGTACAATTGCACAACCCGCGCGCCCGCCGAGTTGCGTAACACGCAGACGGAGCGGGCCCCCGTCGGCGACGGCGGGGATAAGAACTGAATCGATAATTTCGTAAAAAAAAAAAAAAAATAAAAAATACTGACGACGACGTTGACGACGGTGATGACGGTAATAATAATAACGAAAAGAAATTAAACAATCTTCCCCACTTTCGCGATGTGTGTCGTCGCGCAACAGGTTTCTGCGGTTTTCGATCCGTCGGCGCGCGACGCGCGCACACGTAATGCAGGCAAAACTATAATACTGTTTCCCTCGATATTACGCCAAAATTATGAAAAAAAAAAAAAAAAAAAAATGTCACCGCCGCCGCCGCCGTCCGAGATGACCGAGTTTGTACGCGCGTCTTCTGAGTCGATAATTGCGATTGGGTATTATCTAAGAATATATTACCGTTACCATTACATCGCCGAAAGTCATTACGGAACTACCGGTCGGACGGCGTCACACGGTAACAATATGATGTCGCCGTGTTGATTGTCGAGCGATGGGTTTAGCTGTGCTCAGCGTGCCGCGTGTAGGATTTCACAAAAACCGATTGTTGGTCAACGACGCGGGACAGTGGCGCATTATACATTATTACTACCTCTCGACGCGTTTTTTTTCCTTTTTTTTTTTTTTTTTTTTTTTAAATTCCGCAGTCGCTTTACTATTCAGTCGGAAAAATCGCGAACGTACCGATGCCTAGTAAATACGTCGAAAAAAAACAAAAAACAACTCCCGAAAGTATACGTAATATTTTGCTTATTTAAAACACGCGAACCTCTAACAATACGAAAGAGGTCGTTAAATAGGTCAGATGGACCATAGATTAGTATATACGAAAAGTAAATAAACTGATAACGATTACTGATTTTTCTGTTGCCGCGAAGCTTATAATTTGCGGTTAAAACTTTTTGCGGTATCTTACATCTGGACCGGAGACATACGACATAATTAACGATAAATCATCGTGCTGAAACTCCGCCCTCTCCCTCCACGAAACTACATTTATTTATTCGATAAAACAAAGTTTTTTTTTTTTTAGAAGCCAATAATTTATTTGTATATTTTGGAATGAATTCAGAGCTTCCGTTCCACGCACCTCTGTTCGTGGATACGGACGTTCTCCATTTTTTTTTTTTTTTTATTCCCAGGAGACATTCCGCGGACCCGGCCGTCATCTTGGTCGACCTCTTAGCCGACCTTTTGCCCGGCTCAGCTCATATATTCTCCGGCCTTTGAGAACTCGATAGTATCTATTGGCATCAATAGGGCATATCTGTTATCGGCCAGGTCATTCGTCTGCTTGTTGCGGGTTAGCGTCAACTCCGAAATATTGAATATCCGATACACCGTTTCAACGCGGTCAAGTCCCAACCCCGAAACGGTATCAAATAATCTTGTATATAATCTTCGCGCGTCGACATCTCGGAGGCCCGAAGAAAAAAAAAATTGCTCGAAACAGGCCGGCGTCGAGTTTTAAAAGATACAGAAAAGAAAAAAAAAAAAAAACGGGGTTAGTGCAAAGTCGGTTCGTCATCGCTACCGGCATTCTCGTCGGTCCGCTAGACTTTTACCGTAGGGCACGAAACGAAACGATCGGAAGACGTGGACTAATGATGGTTTTCGGTAACCGTATAGACCGTTGAAAACGAACGGCGCCGCAACGTTGTTAGACAACGACCGGTACGTCGCGGCATAAAATATGTAAAATATTTTCAATTAAAGTAGCTGACGCGCACGATGAGTTATCGATCTCGTTATTGCGGACTCGGCCGACGAGATTTATCGTCGACGATTTTAAAAATCCGATGAAACACGACGGTACGTTACCCGTTACCGGCGCGTAGGTAGGTAGGCGGGCGGGCGGGCAGGTATCACCTACAGACACGGGTACGCGCACGTGAAACTGGACTCGGTCCAAATGTCCGACGGGTTCTCGCGACGTCGGAATAATAATAATGATAATATATAAAAAAAAAAAAAATTCCCCGTTCCCGGCCGGGTACTGTTGGCGACGCGGCCATTCGTCTCCGCGTCTGTTGTTGTACATCCGCGATGAATGTGCCGCCGGAGGGAGCCGCCGACCGGCCGAGGACAAAAAAAAAAAAGAAGAAGAAAAATTAACGGTTACCCGTCGGCGTTTTTTTGTAACGGTCGGTCGTATTCACCCTGTGACACGTGCCGCGGAAATATCAGGCGCGCCCGAGTCGGGTCACGGGTACGGAACGGTACTAAACGGATGGTCCGGGAACTTGGTCGGGACAGTGCGTCGCGACGCTGATTCACAACCAATTACCGTTCGGAAGTTTAGAACAAAACGCAATGACACGTGTCCCGATGCCCGCCGGTTTATAGAAGTTTCAGAATGCAGCCGAATGCCGGACCGATTACAAAAAGAATCACCGGCGAAATGGGTTCCGAGTCTTCCGAGTCCGCGAAAACGAGAATGAAAACGTATTGCTTTGGCTCGTTCGTTCCCGATTCGTTTATTACTTTCCGAAAACCGGAACCCAACACCAACCCAATATTCTACCTACCGAAACCACTAGGGTCCCGGACACGGATGCAGCCGAAATGCCACTATAGAATTGGTCGGATTCGTGTGAGAGCATAATGCAGGCGAAAACATCCGGATCCGGAATATCCGAAAGGAACGAAAAAACCGCCCGATTAGAATAAAACGTAGAGCCGCCTGTGAGCCAGTGTCCCTGCTACGGCCACTCATTATTATTGACATCATTTTCAATTTCCATACGCCATATTGGCGTTTTTGCGTTCGTCTACATTAATCCGTTATTTTTTATTATTTTTTTTAATCGAATTAATAAAAATCAAACGCGTTTCCCAAACTGATTTCTAACAAATAAATCAATTAACGACTCGAACGAATATTTATCTCGATCATAATTCTATTCATATCCCGGATAACGGTTCGGAAATGTATATAAAATCAAATGTCGATTATTGTCTATCCAAACAACACAGAAAGTCGAATTTTTTTTTTTGTTGTTGTTTTTTTACGCGCAATAATATATAATACAACGACTATACCAATACAATAATATCATCGATTTCTAATATTTTCTTTATACCAACGGATGAGCGTACACAATAATAAAACACATTCGTATGGTAGTATCTTAAACTTTTTAAGTGCGAGTGGCAATATTATTATATTTATACGTATCGTGTCTGCAGTATAATATCGTTTTTTTTCCCCCCCAGCGAAATATTTATGTTATACGCTATAAGTAATATTATGACGGAAAACAATATCATTAAACTTTTCGAACACGATCGTCGGAAAATATACGACACAACAGTTTCGAGTGAACAAATAAATCCACGGCAATGATTAGTGATCCGCGTCCTAGTGGTAAAGAACCGAATTGAAAAACAAAAGAAAAAAAAAAAAAAAAAAAAACCGCTTGAATCGACACCGGGACTACCCGGACGTACACGGCCGACGCGGCCGATTCGGTGTGCCGGTCGCGAACGGTCCGTCGTCCGCACCCCGCCCATCGCCCCGTTTGTCTGCGCCGCCGCTCGTCCGTTTCGGCGTCTCGGACCGCGGGCGTCTCGCGCCGTTGTTAATATTATCATTGCGACATTCGTTTTGGCGCGGATCGGTTTCCCGGCGAATTTGCGCGCGACGCGACCGGCAGACACTGTCGGCGAGACGATGTTTCCGGGTCCGGCGGGGCTCAAATCGAATTCAACCGACGGACCGACGGGCCGCGACGTCTCCATACGGACCGCGTTTATCCGTTACTACGGCGGTGACGGCACATTGTCGCGTGATTATCGAATCGCACGAAACGGCAATATTGGGGCGGGTCGTAATCGTCCGTACGCATTGACGACGAAAACGGGCCGGTCTACAGAGGGTGTTCGGAACGATAAATTACCGAATATGTGAAGTGCGTAGCGAGACGTGAACGGCTGAGAAAAAAAAAAACAAATAAATATGCGCAATACGTTTGTTTTTTTTTTTCCTCGCCGCGAAGAAAAACGCGTGTTATCCGCGTCTCCGGCGCACATAATGTTATATGTCGACTTCGATGTATTGCGCGCGTCCTCCAAATCGGCCCGTCATCCGTCATCCACTAATTCGCCATTATCCCGACTGTTCGAGGTCGGCCACCTACGGTCGAGACAACCACTTGACCCGATCCCCCACGTCGTCCTCGCATACCACCCCACCCCCCTAATTCCGTTTTTTTTTTTTTTTTTTACTTACTCTTTTTCCTCTTGGGCTTGTTTCCGCTACCGTTCTCTCAGCACCTGATCCCTCTCTCCTCGTGGCATACCCGATAAAATGGCCGTCGTTCCCGGTCCGCATGTCCCGTGTTTTTAAACGAATACCATGATATCATTAAACAGCGTAAATACGTATGCGACGATGACACGGGGCTACTATTTGATTGATTGTTTTTTATTTGTTCCAGGCGAAAAACCATGACTAGATTTAGCGAGATGTCGTTGGCCGCGGTGCTACTGGTGGCCGTCGCGTGCAACGTTTACGCGCAAGTACCGAGCAGCACACCTTGTTCGCTGTCGTTTTACCGGTACCTGTACAATCTGCCGGGCGAGCAAATCCGGCCCAACGTGCCCGAAGGCACGTACATGTTCGGCAAACGCGTGGGCCCGCCGTTGCCTCAGGAAGGACAAGCGTCCGACTTGCGCCCGGCCGTCCTGAAGCCGGCGTCGTCGTACGAAGCGCCGTTGTACCTGCCCCCGCCGTCTACGACAACGACCACCACTACCACGACCACCCTGAAACCGTCCACGTCGGCGCCGGTGTACATACCGCCGCCACCACCGCCCAGCCCCATCTACCCGGCCGAATCCATCAACAACGCGATCACCGTGGTCGGACCCCCGAAACCGGACTGCGACCGTCCGGAACACAATCACCAGGCACCCGTGGACGGCGGACTGCTGCCGCCGTACCGTTACCAACCGTCGGTACCCGAATACCGTCCGCAGCCGACCATCGCCGTGCCCCGGTTCACGCCACCGCCCCAAAAACCCGTGGTGATCGAAGACAACGAGATATTCGCCGCTGGCCAACGGGAACAAGTCACGGTACCGCCGCCACAGATTATCGTCCATCACCCGAGACCATACGGCAAGTCGCACGAACACAAGAACTGCGAGAAGCCGCGCCCGGCGCCGACCACCACGACCACGACGACCACGACGACTGAGGCCCCGACCACGACGACCGAGGCCCCGACCACGCCCGAAACCGTAGTGGAAACCAGACAGAACGAGATCGTCATCGTGCCGGAGCATCCTGACTGCGAGCACAACCACAAGGCGGAAGAGGTACCGCAGGAATCCCTGGGCGTCCCGTCCACGGACTACGGAGTGGTGCCCGTCCAAGCGTCGGAACAGGCGCCGTCCGCCGGATACCATTACGACGTGCCGTCCGGCCAGCCGTTCGTGTACGAGTCCGCAGCCGCGGCCATCGCGAACGGTTACACGTACCCGAAGGCCAGCCCGTCGTTCGAGTACCCAAGCGGATACTCGTCCCAAGGGACCGCGCTCTTCGAATCCGAATATCCGAAATCGGCCGGCGCCGAAGACGGTAACCTGATCATCCTCAAGGTTTAGAACGGCGCGTCCTATATCGGAAACATACGACGTGCAGTGTTGCGTGGCGAGAACGCGTCGCGTCTCTAACATCAAAATTACCATTTAACCATTTTTTTTTTTTTTTTTTTTATTTGTCCCGTAAAAGCCTACAAAAAAAACCCCGAGACGCGCACTGTCGTTACACTTTAAGCGACGAAACAATATCAAAAAAACATATTAGTTATAGATTTAGTTGTGCGGGTTGTCGCACCCGCGGAAATCGCATTACCATTTATCGCGTTGCCGACATTGCACCGGCCAAAACCGTGTTATTTGCACGCGTATTTAATAATTATTATCGTTACCATTATCATTATACTATTGTTATAACAATTATCGTGTTACGACGTCGTAATAATAATTATTATTATTATTATATCGTGTCTCGAAACGTGATATTGTTCGTGTCATTATTATTAGGTACATTATATTATTACGCGAAATCGCATTTCGATGCATCGAACGAGATAAATCATCGTAATATTATTGTATCCATTATTGTGTATCATTTTTCTCCATTATCGTTTATTATACCTTAAGATTTTATTCAATAAAATGTACTTAATTTTAATCGTGTTTTTTTTTTTTTTTATTTTTTCAATGTCTACTTAAACAGCGGTTCTACGCCCGGCGACCCGAGATATTTATCCGATTTTCCGTGAGGCCTTTTTGAAAATTATTTTCAATGGTAGGCTACGCATCCTACCAAACCCATTTGATTTTCCAATAACCATAACTAAAAGAGACTATTAGACTATTTATTCATTTGTTTTTAAATTTACACACACGACTAATCGAGTAATTTAGGTGCCTATTATTGATAATTGATACGAAAACAAATGCGGGTCAACGACTTACCAAATGTAATAGCTTCCGTGAATATCAACCGATAAAGTTTATGTTAATACACTGAATGACCAAAGTCCGAAGTAATTTATAATTGTTTGTCAAGAAAAATTAATTTGCGAAAAACGTTTTATTATTTTTATAATTATTCTGTACAGACAGTCTAAAATTAAAATATTATATTAATATTTTAATTTTTTGGCGACCCGTATAAAATTATCCGCGATCACAAACTTTGGTCGTGAAAAACGCTGTGCTAAAAAATTATCCAATTAATATCGCAAATGCCAAACGCCGTTTGAATGGACGGTTGTACAGACGGCAGTCGTGTATAGGCGGATTGTAGGTAGTCACTATAGTAACCTGTAGTTACTGACAATTAAAATCATAATAATTATCCAAACAACTTAGTCGAATGAAAATTATATTACATTAATAGTTATTAATATATAAATGCAAAAATTCAGATTTAGATTAACAACGGGGTAATTGTATTATTACATTATTCCATGTATTATAATTATGTTTTCCCGTCAAAACTACCGAGCGGATAGAGCTGGAATTTCGTACAGACGATTTAGTTCTAGATCAAGAATAACATATAGGCTGCTCTTTTTCCCGCATTCAACCCCTAAAACGAGGTGGGCCGATATCGGGTTATCGGTATTTTCGTATGAAAATTTAATCATTTTCGTTGATTTATGGGTTACGTATCATGGCGGTATACGGATGATAATTTGTCTGTTATTTGTACGTGCTAAATTATACCGACGTTTTTTTATTTTTCTTTATTGAATAGAATGTATAGGCATCTGTGTGTATAGAGAATACATTTTCAAATATCTAAATAAAGATAAGCAAACAATACAACTGGAAAAATTATTTATGGATGAAGACAAAAATAGTGAAGTGTACCGAATTCGATACAAGTCTAGATTTCCTGAGCGTTGTGCGATTGGTGCAATTTAATGATATTAATAATCATTAACCGTGTTAATATAAATATTTTACATGTTATTTTTATTAAACATTTAAACTACAAACTAATTAGATTAATTTCTAGCCACATTCATTTATAAATAATTTAATTATATACATCAGAAAACTGAATACGCATATCATCCGATGTAGCTTATAAAAAAAAAGTTTCTTTTACGACTAAGAAATACTCTGTACTCTGTAATCGTATAGACGTGAACAGAAAATAATATCAAGAACTTTACTATGAGGAAGAGCGATCATTTTTTTTTTACGACATCTAGGTATGATATTGTTTCGGAAAAAAAATCCAAATAATCGAGTTCTATTGTAATAGAACTCGACAATAATATAACACACATTGTTTATTACGTTTTCTTTTTTGTTTTAATATAATAAAGTCTTTAATGTTTTGATGATAATAATAACAAGTGCTTAACATTTTAATTGAATTTTCTCCACTATAGAAATAAAACTTAATTTGATTTTCTTATTATAATTTCACAAAATCTATCGCGTAAATTTCAATTAAATAAATCTCGAAGTTATAATATTTTATAATTATTATTAAAATCGTCGTTTCGTTGCACGAGTTCTACCGCAGTCTGAAGATAAATATTCTGTATATTAGTTCGTACATTCATTTTTGTCGTATCGTAAAGTAATTATAATTACAATTTTGACAAAGTTCGAGGAGGAAAAACACGGATTCGGAGAAAGACAAACTAAACATTTAACATTTAGTGTAATGCCGGCTGACGGCTGGATTGGACCGGGACAACGGGCGCATTGAAAACGTAATAATCGAAAACGTATCCGGGAAACTATACCACGTGCGAGGCCTCGAAAACAACGTCCGATGAACCAGTAAGACTGGACGTGGCTCCTTGGAAACAGCGACGGACAGTGAAGTTTGGTGAGAGTTGTTAAAACCCGTCAAAGCTCGTAAAGCAAAAATTATTCGCGCACATCATTACATACGTATGCGTACGTGTGCACGGGTAAAACGTGAACGCTTGAACGCAACAAAATAATACGCTGAAACACGCGAATGTGCATATTGAATCAACTGCAAATTCACATTATTTGTATCAAAATATAGTCGTTCGTTTTACAAAAAGGAATAATATTGTTAACTAACGACTCTACGAGGCGTATGGCTATTGCATTACAAAAACCTGATTTAAGTACGGTGTATTTTTAAGTCTGTCGTATTTTATATTAGAAGCTTTGTTTATAATTCAGCGGTTATGTTTTAATATCAGAGTCTATATTGTGTTATATCCGTAGACCTTATAATAGTAGACGAGCTATACGCCTCGGGCAAAATATTGAATTGGACTCATTCCCCGATTAGAACCTATATAAATTCGTCAATTTCATCAAGCATAGCACGGGTACTGACTAAGGACATTTCTAGGGCAATCAATTCAATCATGTTAAATAGCGTGTATGGTGGACAAATTGAGACGGATATAAAGAGCATAACGGCACAGGCAAAAATAGGCTTTATATAATAGTAAAAACCTATATCCATGGCGAACACTATTAGTTCAAAGACCAGAACAACTATTCTAAAGAGTTTCGTAGGAGGTAAAACACTAAATGGAGCAGAAACATAGACTATATTCAAAATAGAAAGAAAAAGGATTGAAATTTTTTAAACACGGTCATGCAGAAGAATACTGAAAATACTTTGGACATAAAAAGTTAAAAACGTAGAAGTATACTTAAGAATAAATAAACGGAAAAATATTAAGGAAAATCGAAAAATAATCGGGAATAAGAGGAAAACATGAATCGGACTTATAATGAAAATGTATTCAAAAATTACATACGCCAATACGGATAATACTTTTTTTACTATACGGAAACTTAAAAAGTACGATTTACGTGCAAGTATGTGCAATTTTTCATATTTATGGTTTCTCAGTCATAATACATAAATCATAAAGCGGATGAACTCGATTACATAACTATGTATGCCGTCAAATTGTATTAAAATCCTCGAAACGGGCACTTATACAATATTGTACACAGCTTATATGATATTATATGTTACACATTTTTTCATTTTTCGCAGTATAAACTAAACAAAAAAAAGGCATAGTATAATATATTTTAATATCCTTTTTTTTTTTTTTTTTTAACGACAAGAAACCCAACGTTTTATAATATATTATTATTTTCTCTGGCGGATTACACGCGCGGCATATTATATTTTTTAATATCTTCAGCTTAATAGTGAAATTATATAGGGTGATCCGTTTAAGTGGCTACACTTGGCAATTCGAAAAGTATCTATTGACTTTTCGACAATTTAAGAAACAAAAAAACATTTTCCATCTACCCTTTGACGAGACTTCACTTTTAAGTTTTAGTAGGGACAGGTAGGTACGGGACATAATTTGTTTAGTGACGGCGTGGCACGTTTCAACCCCGACAATAAGGTTGACGAAAAAAAAAACACGTTAACGTAACATTGTAGAACTGCTTGCATCTTAAATTTTTAAAACGAAGAATGCATGAAAAAAATCAATACTTGCAGAAACTTTAAGTGTAGCAATTTGAACGGATCACTCTGTATAATAAAACTCGATTATTTATTAAAAAAAAAAAACGCATTTTATCTGAGAAATTCGGTTGCCAATCTTATATTACACAGGAGTAGCGACTACACCTGTTTGTGAGAGCCCATAGCAGTATTTCAACTACCGTATTAACATCCAATATAATGGGGTAATGATAATATTTTATTATACGTGTACACACATAATATTTTGATTGTATGGGTATTATAGAGGCGCGCACACGTAGAGGTAATAAATTCAATGCGTTTATGACCTCTTTTTATTTCCTATTCAATTATTTATTACCTAATGCCGAAAAAAATAAAAAAAAAAAAAAAACCACATTTCTGTTAGTGTACAATAATATTATGTACGAAAATTAATTTTAATAGCTATACGGTACGTTCGTTTCATCTTCTCGCTCTTCTTTTGACGTACGCGCGAACGCTATTATTATTCCTTAAATATTCAATTTATTATAAAATCGGATGATGGGAACAAAAAAAAAAAAAAAAACACCGAATTATATTGCGAAATACACGTTTTTGAATAGATTATAATAATGTGAACACACGATCGAATCCC